AAGATTATTAATAAAATTTAATATTCGTAACTAAGAAATTTAATTACTTCTCGAATAGATATCTAACTTTCTCGATTCAGATCTTAATAGTACTTTTTAAAAGTTATCGATAGAAAGAAAGCTAGCTTTTTAATTAGATTATTAATTTATTTAACGCTCTTAATATTATTATAAATTAAGATAATCTCTTAACTCGCTATAATTATTAGATTAGCGATATTTATAACGAATAAGTTAATTTTATATTAATTAATATAGTTTAACTTATAATTATAATATTAATAAGAGCTTTTCTTATTTAAATAAAGCGAAATCTCGATTAATAATAAGATATTAATATTTAATTAACTAAAGATTTTTATTATTTTAAGCTTTATATTATAAGAAGAGATATATTAAAGTTATTTATTTCGTTAACTATAAATCTTACTAATAGTTTTCTCTTTATATAAATAATATTACTAATAGAATATCTAAGTATCTTTTCTAATAATCTTATTATTAGACTTATTATATATTTAGAAATTATCTATTAAAGATTAATACGCGTTAAATTCTTTAATTATTTAATAAATAGATATATTTAATAAAAAAGTAGCTTAATATATCTTTAATATATAAGAAGATAGCTTTAGTATTATTAATATTAGCTTTAAAGATATTATTAAGATAAACTTACTACGCTTATTACTCTTTTAAAAATATTCTTTTTATTTATTTAAAGAGATAGACGCTTTATATTTATAAGAGAAAAAGAAAATAAAGAGCTTTAAGAGGGATAATAGTAATCTAAACGCGTTAAAATAAATAAGTTTATTTTATTCGCTATCGCTAAAGCTACTATCTTCTTTTTTAAGTAATAAAAATTCGTTTAAATACTCTATTTTCGAGGTGCGGTCTTAATTAATATTCTTAAGATTACTATTATATTAATCGAGCTTCTTTTAAATATTTTTAAAGTCTCTATATTATAGAGGCTAGCGTATAAGATAAAGATATAATATTAAAGCTATTAAAAATAATATACGCGAAGATTTAATACGAAAAATTAACGATAGCGAGATATAAGAGAGGTGAGAGGGTAGAGAGTGGCGATAGCGAGGTATAGGGAAGACGGTAAGATCAGCCAGGACGTGTTCTCTATTTACTATTGCAATCTCTTATTAATTAGGGGAATATAGCTGGGTCGGCCTAATAGCTCTTCGGTACTGTCCGGTACTGTACACTAGCGTTGGCTGAGGTTTAGAAGCACCCAGTATTTGGGGTCCAATGCCGACAGAATCACCTTCTCATTTGTCTTCCTGCTTCGGGGAAGCCAAAGCGAGATTCCTCTTTCCTCTTATATAGTTCACATACATAGCCATCTCAATAGATGATCCCGCTGTCTCCATACCTATCTCCAACCTACTTTTCCATACTGCTAGACAGTGGTTCCACTGACGGAACAGCAGTTCTTCCTCCTCCTCAATAACAATGGTTCTCGACCGCCTAAAGCAAGTCGCCCAACATGTCTCCGGCACTACCCCTCCTCCTCATCCCTTCGACCCTCTCTCTGCCTCTGAGATTGAGAAGGCGGTAGCGCTCATCAGGAAAGAGCATGGGCCGCTCGCTTACAATGCCGTTACAGTCTGGGAACCCAGGAAGGCGGACATGCTGGCATGGCTCGCGGACGCAGATCATACGCCGAGACCGCACCGAGTTGCGGACGTGGTAGCGATCAAGAAGGGAGGGAGTGTATATGATGGGTTGGTGGATTTGGACGAGGCGAAAGTTCTGAAGTGGGAGAGCACGGAGGGTGTGCAGCCATTGATTACGATGGAGGATCTGCAGATTGTGGAGCATGTTGTGAGGGAGGACCCCAAGGTCATTGAGCAATGTGGCATCATTGGGATACCGAAGGAGGACATGCACAAGGTCTACTGTGATCCTTGGACCATTGGTTTCGATGAGCGGTTTGGGAACAAGGTCAGGCTTCAGCAGGCTTTGATGTACTACAGACCGCATATCGACGACAGCCAGTACACGTTCCCACTGGACTTCACCCCTATTTTCAACTGTGATACCCAGGAGATCATCCACATCGATGTCCCTCCCGTAAGAAGACCCATCAATCAAGCACCAGCGAATAATTACCACCCCGCCGCAATTGAGGCGGAAGGCGGCTATCGCAAGGACTTGAAGCCTATCAATATCACTCAGCCTGAAGGGGTGTCATTCAAGGTTGACGGGAGGATCATTGAATGGCAGAACTGGAAGGTTCACGTGGGCTTCAACTACCGTGAGGGTATCGTGCTGAACAACATCACCTACAATGACAAGGGCAACGAAAGAGGCGTCTTCTACCGACTTTCACTAGCGGAGATGGTGGTGCCATATGGAAACCCTGAGCACCCTCATCAACGGAAACATGCCTTTGATCTGGGTGAATATGGAGGTGGCTACATGACCAATAGCCTCGCTCTCGGCTGCGATTGCAAAGGGGCAATCCACTACATGGATGCGAACTTCGTCAACCGTGCTGGTGCAAGCCAAACGATCAAGAACGCCATCTGCATCCACGAAGAAGACGCCGGCATCCTCTTCAAGCACACTGACTTCCGAGACGACTCAGTCATCGTGACTCGAGGGAGGAAATTGCTGATTTCGCACGTGTTTACTGCTGCAAACTACGAGTACTGCGTTTATTGGATTTTCCACCAGGATGGAACAGTGCAGCTCGAGGTCAAGCTCACGGGCATCCTGAACACCTACGCCATGAACCCGGGAGAAGATACGCACGGCTGGGGCACGGAGGTGTACCCAGGGGTCAACGCTCACAATCACCAGCATCTCTTCTGCATGCGGATAGATCCCAACATTGACGGGCCACAAAACACCATTTTCCAGGTCGACGCCAAGGCAGGGCCTGGTGAGGTCGGCAGCGCGGAGAATAAGTACGGTAATGCCTTCTACGCGCATAAGACCAAATTCACGACTCCAACTGAAGCGATGTCGGATTATGAGGGGAGCTCTAGTCGGAGTTGGGAAATGGCGAACACGAATAAGATCAATCCGTACAGCCACAAGCCCGTTAGCTATAAGCTGGTCAGCCGAGAAGTGCCTAGCTTGCTGCCGAAAGAGGGTGGTCTGGTATGGAAACGAGCTGGATTTGCAAGACATGCTGTCCATGTCACTAAATGTCAGTTTTTCTCAACCTTTTCCCCCCCCCCGCTTCGGCTAACGGCATGTTTCCAGACCAAGACGATCAAGTGCACCCCGCTGGCCGTCATGTCCCGCAGACATCCGGGGAACCCTCTCAAGGTCTCCCCGAATGGATTGCACAACATGCCGAGGAAAACATCGACAATACGGATGTTGTCCTCTGGCACACATTTGGCATCACACATTTCCCGTCGCCCGAGGACTATCCCGTCATGCCTGCGGAGCCCATGACATTGCTGCTTCGACCTCGGAATTTCTTCCTGAAGAATCCGGCGCTGGATGTGCCGCCGAGCTACTGTTCCACTCCAAGCCAGAAGGCGAGTCTGTTGCGGCGGGGAGAGATGAACAATGCGGACAAGGCGAGTCGGGCGGTTTGATGAGGTGCACAAGGTCTCTGGCGATAACACGCGTACGATGCGGTACATGTATATATCATCTACCTGGCATTTACCGCGAGAGTGCGGTCCGAGTTCATGGAGATTGTTGTTACACGAGTGATTCGAATGCGACTACGGAGCATGCACGACTCGGTCGCTATACGGTAGCATGTTATTGGCCGCGTCGCAGTGGGCGCCGCGCAGCCACGGTACAAGCGCCAAGCCCATGATTGTTCGAAACATGCAAATCCTTATAGGAGTGCCCGGTCGGCCGGGCAAGACTGGACGTCGTGATACTGTTGGTGCTGCAGCCACTCTATCTCCAGTGTGCCTGTCGTATTCGTAATCCTGTGTAGGATGTAGGCATGTGTAGCAAGAAGGCTATGTGGCTGTGTAGGCCCCCCTCCCCCTCCATATGTGTAAATAGCGTAGGCGCGGGGAAGATGCTGGATTGCGAATGATGATGCATTGAGGGATCCGGATGGATGATGAAACACGATGCAATTTGCAAAATGGATGAATCAAATAATTATAAATACGGTACCTATGATAATGATAGGCGCAGTGGACTCTGATCATGATCTCGTGTCATCATTATTTATTATTTTGACGTGTAGTGGATGGGAGCAGGAAAAAAGAAGTGGAAAAAATGTCCCGCGGGTCCGTTCGCTGTTTAATAAGGACCGAGACGGGCTTTGGTGCAGATGCTTGGCAACCAATGAGAAGCCTCGATCCGAGTGCCAAGTGTCGTAGTGTTAATCCCTTGTCATTCTTTTTTGCCCTTTGTGCGGTTTAAACGGCTCGTTCCTTTGCACCCAAGACCAAAATTAAAGCACACTCGTCGGCTATCGGCCCTTAATTCTTTCATTTTTTCATCAGTTTACCCCTCGACAACTCGACACACTCTTCAAAAAAGATATCTTTAACCAATCGCATTATTGCCGCTCCAGCCCTCCTTTACTTGAAGTCTTGAATTCACTGTATTGAGTGCCCGGCATTTACTTTCGGACTGTCGGACTTATTCTGTATCCTTTCTTGTTAGTCTTGCCCGTTGCTGGCTTCAGCTGTGGCTGCTGCAGATGTGATCATACTGCAAACGGTCCCCTGTGCCCTGTGATGCACCCCCCCCCCTCCCCCCCAACCAACCAACACGGACAAAGCTACAAATAATCCTTTCCGCCCCTACTTCTAAACAAGCGCCAGTCACTTCCGCCCCTATCTCTTTCTCTAAGGCTTTTCATTCAACAAGCTACATTTCCTACAATTCTCTTAACCCGATGCCGAAGGACGAGCCTTCATTCCGTATATGAATCGGCTATGACCGCCGGTGCAAATTCCTCCACCTCTTGCCTCGCTTCCCATCGTCTGCCGTAGACTCTCGCACCCGCTACAAATTCAACACTTGCACTACCGCCTCTGATAATGGCTTCTGCAATGCTCCAGGCCAGACAGGTGAGTTTGGTTCTCATACACCGACGGATCTCCCTACCATGAGTCGCGACTGACACCTTCCATCTCAGGCGGCCACGATGAGCAAAATGCCCATGTCTCCACCCTACCCAGCGACCACCTCAGCCCTCGGCGGTTCACCTACAATCAACCCCGATGTCCCAATATGTGCCGTCTTTCTTCTCTTGTATATGATCGGCGCTGCATGCCACATGGCCATCTTTCAGACGAACCAAAAAAGAGGGCACAAGTTCCTCATCTCCGGCATGTTGTTCGGCTTCTGCATGTCAAGACTGGTCACGACGTCGTTGCGCATCGCATGGGCTGTCTACCCCCACAATGGCAGATTAGCCATTGCTGCCAACATCTTCGTCGCGGCAGGAGTGGTGCTGCTCTTCATAATCAATCTCCTCTTTGCCCAACGCATAGTTAGGTCCTCTCATCCCAACGCAGGCTGGCATCCCATCTTCCATTACTCATTTGTCGGCCTATACGTTCTCATCGTCGTCAGTCTGGTCGCTCTCATCACCTCCGTCATTCAGCAGTCTTATACGCTCAACCTGAACACAAAACGCATCGACCACGACATTCAGCTCTACGGCCAGACCTTGTACGCCTTCGTCTCCTTCCTACCTGTCCTGCTCGTGGTCGGGGGCCTCGTCATACCTCGCAAGACTCGTGTGGAGAAATTCGGCAGCGGGAGATTCAGGCACAAGATAGCAATTCTGCTCCTGGCTTCCTGTATCCTCAGCTCAGGTGCATGTTTCCGCGCAGGTGTCAACTACGCGGGTGGGAAACGGCCAAGGGCCGACCCAGCCGGCTACCAGAGCAAAGCATGCTTCTACATCTTCAACTTTACCGTCGAGATCATAGTCATCTACCTCTACGTGATCGTGCGAATCGATAGGCGCTTCTTCATCCCGAACAACAGCCATGGGCCAGGGGACTACTCCAGGACGCTAAAGGAGGCAGGATCAGATAAGGAATTGGCGAGCATGGAGGGCATGCCGATCGCCTCTGAAGAACAGATCTTCGATGACAAACGTCCGGAGGACCCGACTCGAAGCAACAGGGAAACGGGCAAGGTGGTGGATGAAGAGAGGGGACTTTCAGCCGACGAAGAAATCAGGCAAGGGCAAGCGCCTGCTGCAGCGTCGAATTTTGGAGCTTCGTTTACGCCGCCTACTCCTTTACTTACCCCACCTCCAGCTTCCTATCAACCTCGAGAACAAGGTTATTGAAATGAACAGAGACTAAAGCTCAAAGCTCGACTGCATGCAACAGCTCTTGGGTCGGGTCGATGAATTGGACACGTATCAGCTTATTTTGACGATCAATGGCAATAGAAGCGGCAATTTTTATCTACCTCGAGGGAGCATAGCGACAGCGAATACCCTGGTGGCTTATGAGTGCCCTGCGTGCGTGTATCAATAGACGTCTTTTGTTTTATAGGCCTAATAACCATGTTTAATACACTTCATCTTGCACGTCGCAACGGCCCTCAACTCAAGGACTATGATCTCAACCAGCGATCACTCTTGCCTTTCTCAACCGTCACATGCACCCTCGGCTCAGATCGCTCTCCCCAATCGCCACGCAGTCGATACCTGCCGCTAGAACACACAATAGGCCTCGAAGAAGGACGCATCCAATCAAAATCCCCCCACGCACGCTCTAAGCCCGCAGGTCACGATATCTTTCCCCCTTCCCCACTCGATCGCTCCCTCACTCTGACTTGGGCGACCCCACTGCCAGCAACGTGGAAGCGGAAGCCCTTTTTTGTTTTCCGCACGTTCGTACGTAGAGTAGAGTAGAGTAGAGTAATGCCCTACCCATCTCACCTTTTCTCCTACTGTATATACGACCACCAATCAACCAAGCAAGCATGAAGGCACGCACGGCAATCACAAAGACCCCCACCAATCGAACCACCCGTTCGTTCCCCAAACCCAGGATGGATGAAAAAGAAGAAAAAAAAAGAATCCCACGTCAGAAGTCAATCGGACCGGAGTATGCATGGCCTGGACCCCATTCCTCCAGCATCACGATGACTTTACGAGTGCGCCAATCAAACCCCCTCGCTCAGGGTCAAACGGGCGGAAAGAATTCCTCTAAGAAAGACAAAACGACGTGTCATCCCTGCCGGAATCGAAACCCGTCTACCTAGGTGCATGTTGACGTGCGGGGCTGGGCAATGGGGCGAGGATCGTGGGGAGGGGGGCGAGATCGGGGAGAGTAGGTACCGAGGTACCCACCCGGTTAGACTGTGGAAGAGCTATGGAAATGTTTGAGTGGGTAGTGAGGAATAACAAACGACTCACCCTCACCGCTACCTAGGTACCTACCTAGTGCCTCCCTTCCAACCTACCTAGGTACCTAGTTACGACGTCCGATAGGCAACACGGGTAATGAAGTGTACTACCTCCTAGCTACAGCCAACAACCCACAACCACCCAACCACCCAACAACAACACCATCTCCACCATCTCCACCACAAAATCCCCCCCACCAATACCCCATCCCCATCCTCAAACTCCGCGACAACCCCATCCAACAACCTCGTACCGCGCAGCTAGTCCAATAAAAGTAGACAACTTCCCACACACTCGTACACTCGTAAACTCGTACGTTGGAGCCAGCGCACACACCCGCACACGAGACCTAAAGTAATCTTACCTTAAGTAGGGATGCGCACCCGCCCGCGCGTACGCAGAACGAGCGGCGTATACGAGGATTCCCGTTCCCAAAGCCGCCTTGAGCGGAGACGGATAGTTAAATGTAGTGGGCGACACTCGTATGTGGGATGTGAGTAGAGTGACTGCGAGGATGTCGTGAGTGCGGTGTGCGGGAGGGGGGGAAAGAAGGTTTGACACACGGCAGCAAGCGGGAGAAAGGGAGAGAAAGGGAGAGAATGGAGTCAAGATGAGACAGGGCGGCAGTGCAGAAGAAGGATCCGAATCGGAGAATCGACAACCGAGACCGAGTTGGGAGAACAGGGGGGGACCGGACACAACGCACGGAACGAGGAGAGAGGACGCAGTGGCGGTGGGGGAAGACTTGAGGTTGGGGATCACAAGGGGGCCGGTGGGAGGGTGCACTCCGCACGGAGTTTCGTAGTGTAGAGATGTAATGGTGGGAGGGAACCTGCTGAGGAAAAGTTGGAGAAGAAAGCTACGATGAGGGAGATGGCTCCGTGCTAGGCTCGGGGCGAGGAGAATTCCATCAAGTGGGGCTACCAGCAAGGACACAGATGCCAGGTTGAAAGTCCAATTGTAGGGGTCGTAGAAGTTACCGTTGGCCCGGTCGAGAAGAATGATCTCAAACAATGGAAGATGTGACTGATTTCGCTGGCGTGATTATAATTGAAAGGAAAAATGCCCCACCCGAAATCCAGATAGCCTTCCGGGGGCACCAAGATGATATGTGAAATGAATTGAAGATTCTGACGCTAGTAGCCTCCGAGGGGAATACGCTCGCTCTCTCTCTCTACCTCTGTGTGTGTGTGTGCGTGCCTGTGTGTGTGGATGCTGCTGGGTTTCCGTTAAGGCGAGATTCGCTTGTCATAGCTTCGTCGTTCCCTGCTGCCCATCCTTCTTGGCCCACTCCCTCAAAGTCTTCCTCTGTATCTTGCCCGTCGCACTCTTAGGCACTTCGTCAACGAAGACCACACCACCGGTCAGATACTTATACTTTGCAACCTTGCTCTTGATCCACTCTTGTATCTCTTCCGAGCTCGCTGCTCCTTTCGAACTGAGTAGTACGTAAGCTCGAGGGTATTCTTGAGCGTCGAAGGAGTCCTGGACACCAACCACGCCCGCATCGGCGACGGCAGGATGGGTAAGGAGGACAGCTTCGAGCTCGGCGGGGGCGACTTGAAGGCCGGAGACTTTGATGAGTTCCTGTGGATACGGTCAGCGCCAATTTGCGAATCTAGTCTTGGTGAGACTTTTCACCTTCAATCGGTCCACAATGTAGAACCATCCCCTTTCATCAGTGACAGCCACATCTCCACTCCGCAACCACCCACCCTCCAGCATGGTCTCCCTCGTAGCCTTTTCGTTCTTCCAATACCCTGGGCTGACATTCGGTCCCTTTATGTATATTTCACCCCTTTCCCCCATCTCCACCTCCTTCCCATTCTCGTTTATCAATTTGATCTCGCAATTGGGTATTAGGACGCCCACGCTTCCAGTATGATCTTCAATTCCTCCTGGCGCAACCAACCCTGTACATGTGATTTCGGTCATACCCCAACCCTGCCCAACGTTGGCCGGAAAGCGTTGCCTACAATCCATTTGCAGACTCTGAGATAGTGGCGCAGCGCCAGAGGAGATTTTAGTGATGCTGCTGAGGTCATAATTGGCTGTTGCAGGGTGCTTGCTCATCAGGACCAGGATAGGTGGGACGACTTGGAGCTCTGTAATCCTGTACTTTTGAACAACATGAAGCATCTCTTCGTAGACAAACGCCGACATGATGTAGACTGGGACGACGAGTTTTGCTGCCATGAGGATAGTATTTAGTTGGCCGTAGGCGTGATAGAGTGGAAGGAAGCCGATCCAGCGCTCGTCGGCGACTGAGTATTTGCCAGTTCGTTTGAACTCGGGTTTCTCGACGTTCTTGAGGAACATGGTCTGTTCTGCGTTGGCGATCAGGTTGTAATGGGTCTGGCAACCCTCATTAGAGGGAGTACTATGGTGCGGTTGGGGAGACGTACGACCATGACACCCTTGGGTAGACCTGTGGTGCCACTAGAGTAATTGACTGTTGCTATCTGCTTCTTCGACTCCAAGCCTAACAGTCGTGGCCGATTGTATCTTGATGCATCTGGAGGACTACCCAGCATTGAGCGCCAATCTTGAATACCGTCGACAGGCTTGTGTTCTGTGTCTGAGAATAGGTACAGTCTATCTTCTGCAAGGCCGGCTGCTTTGGAGGCTTTCCGAGCTGTGTCAAGAAGGGTGGGATGGACCAAGAGAACTCGGGCTCCTGTGTTCCGAATCTGGAAACTCAACTCTGTTCACGGGAGGTAAGCATCAATCGCGCCTTTTGACAATACAGATCTGAGTGCTATAGACGTCCGAAAATGGTTAATGTGGTCATGTAGATAAGAAAACAGAGTAGATGTCTCAATCGACGCATCTGGATTTTGTCAAGACATGTAGTTGTAGATACTGTAGGACTCCAGACCTGCACGCAATGTCTATCGCATGATCAACGAAGATCTTCCCTACCATCTGCCGTATACAATGGGTTGGCACCACTGAAAATCCGCCCAGAGCCCACAGCTCCCAAGTACGCTACAGGCACGAAGATATGATTCGGGGACACGATCATAAGCACCTCCCCCTTTTTCACACCCAACTTGTCAAGGCCTATCGCCAATCTTTTGATCCATTGTAGCCCCGTGCGCAACGAGAGGTAGGTATCTGGGCTGGCCGCATTGATCCAGAGCGGAGTCTCGGACAGCGATTTCTCGGAGCCGAAGAGGTAGGTCAGGATGTCTTGCTCGGGGATTTTGAGGTCTGGGTAGGGGGATCGTATGACCATGTTGGCGGTGGCTACTTCGAGAATGGTTATCAAGAGTTGAGAAGAGCTGTGGAAGGTCGAGGATGAGTCGGTCAGAGCGGCTCAATGCCAGTCATCAGAGCTTCGATCAGCAGCTGCAGCGCATCCCTTTGGACAAGGAGAGGGACGAGTTATTTGACACTGCTCAGACGAGATCCGGACCGAAAGCTGCGGGGGTATGTCGCTGCCCATAGGCAGATAGGGTAATAACATGACATGTTTCACGAAGCGAGGAAGGAAAGCGCCAGGCTCGAGTTCGCTATGAAAGTCCCGATTGAGACGCTCACCGTCCATGCTCTTTGGTACTAATTAGACAAACTACTCGTAGAAGTGTCCGATATGCTTCTAGTATGCTCCTAGCACCAGTCGTCACACGGGCCATTTCATGGAGTATGCGGGGGGAGGGAAAGTCGGGAAAGTCGAGGCACATTCTTTGCCGGGATGATCGCTTAAGAGGTTTTGGGGAGCCAATCCTTTTCCAGGCCGCAGTACGCGTACAGGGGTGCCCGATGTTGAGAGGTAGGTCCTGCATTGGAGATCGCATTCTCGTGCACGCGTCAACTAATGATAAAGCTGATCACATTGTGAATCTCAGCAAAGTCAGTAGGGTAATAAGATGAGTATGCGTTGTGATTGTGAACACTGAACAGGAGTCTAGACGGACATAAGGTAAAGTAACTCGGCGAGTCGCAGAAGAGCCTTCCGTGAAACCTTGGCGCTCGCTCTATTCTTAGCCCTCTCGCGGCAGGGCAATTGCGTCGTGGTGAGGCTTCATCAGCTTCGACGACTTCGCAGCATTGCTTGAGCCACTGCTGCATCATCAATAATGATGCCGTGACCATTTCAATGTAGCAGCCTTTGCTGCCCCATTCTCCGACATGTCTTACCTCCGCCTCTCTGCATTTGGTTCAGATTGTCCAAGACAAAAGGGACTTCACTGGCCTGACCGACAGCTCTTCGATCCACAGCGGAGATTCCCCCGCCTCTTTGCAGTATTCGTCACAGCTTGCCCAAAACAAAAAGTACTTCACTGGCCTGACCAACAGCTCTTCAATCCATAACGGAGGAGATTGACCAGTCAATATCTGCCATGATCCGGTTCGCACAGTACTATCAGCGAGCGAAAAACGGGTTTCATGCCATTCAAGCCCTGGCCATCTTTGTTGCCTGGGCCATATCCATTGCTATCCTCACCAAGGAAGGCAAACTTGATGGGAGGATTTGGTATTACTTTGCTCTGGTAAGCAACTAGCAAGAGTCATCTCACCAAGACGAGACGCTAATGCCTCTGCAGTGTTGGTGCTGCATACCTGCACTCTTCTACCAGACGGCTTCCCCTGTTTTCCAACGGATACGCCGCTTTTCCAATGCCTACGTCCACGGTGTACTCGACATTGTTTACACCATACTCTGGCTCGCTGCCTTTGCCTCCCTGATAGCATGGGTCGAACAAGGATCTCATGCGGCAAAAGATTGGAAGAGCAAGGACAGTTTGTGTGAGAAGTTCGCATGGGGGCCTGTGAGCAAGTGCAAGCTGGGTCAGGATGCATGGATAATGGCTGTCATCATATGGTAGGGACACTGCACCCTCGCAATCGAATCGACATGGCTCATGTCTGGTCCTAGCCTGCTGTTTGGCGTTACAGCTGCCTTCGCGATCTACGGTGTAATCTATTACAGAAAGAACGGTTCTTTACCTGATTATTCCATCCAAGATGAAGAGCATCTACCCTTCGAAGACTCGGATTTCTCAGCGGACACAAGTGACAAGCTCAACAATCATGAGAACATGCAGCTTAATCATTCAGACGAAGAGGAAGCCCCATTTACGCACGCCAACGCAGAAGAGCCAACCCATCCAAGTGGACCAATCACCTGGAATCTGCAACAACCACATATTGCGCCTGCCGAGCTAGAGTTCGTGCCCGTCGACACCAGCTACTATGGCGGCGGACACCCCTATGAATCTTCGCAGCAACCTCAGTCCCAACCAACCTTTCAGTATTCGGCCAACAATTCTCGGTACGAGACTCACCACTCCAATGAGAGCCAATTTGTGGGAGGGTTGAAGCCTTTGCCAGTGCAGGATGGAGAACGTCTATCGAGACATAATTTAGCATTGGATTTTGACCATGGTGGATATGCTAGTAGTGGCAGGGTGGATTTCCCGGAGGGTGACTATGGCCGATGAAGTCAGAGATCATAGATGTCCACTTTGAAAACACAAGCTTTTAAACCGTCCATGAGAGCTGGCCATGCAAATGATCACGAGCGTAGTGTAGTAGGGAGTGTATCGTCCGGGGGCCCAAGACGTTGCGAGTGCGAAAAGGCTTATGTACCGAGACCTCGCTTCGAGGGCTTTGGTATGACTCAATAGTCGAGATGCCCGGTACATGTAATTTGATACCTAGCCGTTGAACTTGATTATCATCCAGGATCCTTCCCCTTTGTAGCTGTCGGAAATTCTGGCATTTGGGTGGTCGGTAATTAGGTCTTCGCAACGTGACGCTTTTCGCAGCCGCCAACTTAGGGTTGTAAACATCATACTGAAAGTCTCTATGCATTATTGATGATGACCCATCCGATACTTACATTTTACGCGGGCTGCCCGATTGTATCTGGACTTTGTCATCGTGCATCCAACAGCTAGAGTTGCCATACGCGTACGCCCAAGCAGGCGTCGAGCAGCGTCTCTCCCACGGCCCCTCCAACGGAGTCTGGTCCGCCTAGACAGCCTCGATGTTTGGGAACTATCTAAATGTCTCTGACGACAGTGACACTGGCTCCAAATTGCGGGAATGGTCTTCCCTCATCGGCATCGTCACCGCCATCATTGGCAACATTCTCATCTCCTTCGCCCTCAATATCCAGCGCTACGCCCACATACGACTCGCTCGAGAGCAGGAAGAGCGGAAGAAGCCATGGAGTACAGGACACACCAAAAATGGTCAGAAGGGCTATGGGACCCAGCAGAGCAACATTGCAGAAGACAGGATAAAAGCCAACCTGAACGCCCCACTGGAGGACGGACAGCCTACAAACGGTCAGAACCCTACACAGGAGTACACACACGTACCAGGAGCGCATAATGAATCTACGCACTCTCGCAGCTCTTCAGAGTCTACCATAAAGCAGTCGGAAAAGCCAGAGCCTCAAGCAGAGAAGAAGACATACCTGAAGTCCCCCTACTGGTGGGCCGGCATAGTTTTGATGATTGCGGGCGAAGCTGGCAACTTCATCGCCTATGGGTTTGCTCCTGCGTCCATCGTCTCGCCTCTCGGTGTGGTCGCCTTGGTATCAAATTGCATCATAGCACCATCTTTACTTCACGAACGCTTTCGGCAGCGAGACTTTTGGGGCGTGGTCATTGCCATAGGTGGTGCAGTGACGATTGTACTCAGCGCAAAGAATTCGGAGACGAAGATGGGACCACACGATGTCTGGGCAGCAATAACGCGGTGGGAGTTTGAGGTGTACCTGGGGGTAACGGCAGCGCTCATCATCGTGCTGATGTGGGCGAGTGGAAAATATGGGGAGAAGACGATCTTGATCGATCTGGGTCTTGTTGCCCTCTGTGGTGATTATGACTTGGAAGCGCCCGATTGAACCAGAGCTAACACGAATAACAGGAGGCTACACGGCCTTGTCCACAAAAGGCGTCGCATCGCTACTGTCGGATACTCTCTGGCGCGCCCTGACCTTCCCCATCACATATCTCCTTGTCTTCATACTTGTTGTGTCGGCACTGGCCCAAATACGATACGTTAATCGTGCTCTACAGAGGTTCGATTCGACCCAAGTCATCCCTGTACAATTCGTCCTCTTCACGATTTCGGTCATAATCGGAAGCGCTGTATTATACCGAGACTTTCAGGCAGCTGATGCTAGCCGGTTTGGTAAATTTTTCGGAGGCTGTGCGTTAACATTCTTGGGAGTGTATCTGATTACAAGCGGAAGAGCAGGAAATGATAGTGGAGAGGATACGGAAGATCTTGACGATGAAGAGAACACGATAGGACTAGTGGATGAGGAGAGATACCAAGACGAGGTAGACAACCACGAAGAGGACCATACGCGAAGGAAGTCATCTGTCAGCTTCGTTCTTGACGGACCCAATGGATCACGACGATCGTCCAAACAGCTAGTGAACAGGCGACCCTCATCGACACAAACCCCACCCAGACTACTTTCACATACATCAACTGCATCGTCGCGGATATCTGGATCGGAGTCTCCCATACTCGAGGACCCCCGGCAATCGACTGGCAACGTCTCCCTCTCAAGTAGACCACGACTAGGTGACAGTGCCATATCATCCCCACTGTTACCGTCCGAGGCACAACGCACCCACCCTCCAGCAACGCCCAATGGCCCGTCAATGCCTACGCGGCCTGCAAAACTCTCAAGGCGATCCATGGCTCGATTGACGCCAGGCCCCTACGTATCACCATTGTCATCTTCGTTGAGTGCCGTGGTTGCAGACGAATTACGAAGAGGTCATGAATCTCCATCAACCCGGAGACGGCCATCAGTGCTACACAAATCAAAGTCCCAAAGAGCCACTATAGCGTCAAATGGTGAAGAGACTGGCTCTACGCCCTTAAAGACATCGCAGTTGCCAGAGGAAGCGGTAGAAGTCGACGGCGAGCGTCCACATACTGCCATCAGATCACAGAGCGTCAGTGCCGATTTTGCTAATTTGGGTGATTCCTCTCGTATGAATCGGGAAGGGAGTAAGGGGAAAGCAAACGAGAGGGATGAAAATGATACCCCGCAATGATTGCATGTATAGGGTTACCAATGCTTAGCTTGTACTTATTGAATTTCGCGGCGTTCTGATTGTGTTCTCACACCGTTCACTCTGCAAAGCATCGGGAGGCCATCAGTGAAAAGGTGGAGAAGAGCATGATTAGCATTGCACATACATACTTTACATATGTCCACCCGTTTCAGCAAGCCTACAACCTCTACCTCCCAGAAGTCCTTCGAGCTTCCTTCAGCTATCTTAATGGGCCATGTTGAGCCCATTTAGACAGATTGCACTGCAGGACTCACACGCTGTATTGATAGAGTACTTTGCGGAGTGAATACCTTAAGGTTTTGGGAGGTTTCCTGCTAGCCTGATTGGCTCGTCTGCTTCGCTAGCGTCATGATTGATCATGGCTTACAGATTCACTTGCACCTGCATTATTAATCAAGGCAAGCACTCAACCACTCGTAAGTCCTCGAAGCTGCTACATTCTCAATTGAAGTATATAAGGGAGTCTTTGACACCCCTACGCTGTATTTTCTTTTATCAAAAAGCAATTCCCTCCTTTCAAGTCCAATTGCAGCCAAACATCTATTTTGTTAGAACTCAAACCCACTATTCTTTCATGTCCGCAACAACGAAGACAGCAACACAAATCATGTCCAAACCCTCCCACGCCAAGATAACCCCCCGTCGCTCCTCCGACCGCGGCCATTCCAATCACGGCTGGCTAAACAGCTACCACACCTTCTCCTTCGCCCCGCACCATGACCCAACCTTCCAACAATTCGGCTCCCTGCGCGTCCTCAACGAAGACCGCGTGGCGCCCTCCAGCGGCTTCCCCACGCACCCCCACCGCGACGCCGAGATCTTCTCGTACATCCTCTCCGGCGAGCTCACGCACCGGGACTCGACGGTGAAGCCGAAGGACGCGCGAGGGCTCGGGGACGTGAGCAAGGACGACTTCTACCGCATGAAGCGGGGCGACGTGCAGTTCACGACGGGGGGCACGGGCATCGCGCACTCGGAGCAGAACGAGCACGCGGGCGAGGAGGTGCATTTCCTGCAGATCTGGGCGCTGCCGTGGAAGCGCGGGTTGCCGCCGACGTACCACACGAGCACGTTTCCCGAGGAGTCGAAACGGAACGGGTTCGTGACGATCATCTCGCCGTTGAGAGCCGGGCCGAAGGCTACGGGTCAGGAGGAAAAGGATGCGGTGCCGGTGACTGAGGGCACGATTCCGATCCATGCTGATTTCTTGATGGGGGCGAGTATCATCGCCCGAGGAGCTTCTGCGTCTTGGACGGTTGGAGGGGAGAAGGCGGTCGTGTCGGAGTCCGGTCGTAAGGTCTACCTGCACCTGCCGATGCGGAGGATAGGCGCGAGGATCAGAGTGGACGGGGAGACGGTGCTGGAGGAGGGGGATGGGGCTTTCGTGGAGAAAGTGAATGCTGGGGATGAGCTTCTGGTCGAGTCGATCGGGGAAGGGGAGGCGGAGGTTGTGGTGCTGGACTCGAATTAGGTCACCGGTCAAGAAGGAGAGGCGTTTGGGATTCATGAATGATAATTGATGATCTATCAGAGCAATCATGAGACTGAATTGTATTTTACAGTCCTAGGACTTGTTCTGGGCAGGAGGCGAAATCCAGCCAAGACTCAAAACATACCGTTACATCCTTCTTTCAATAACCATCTTCAACTCCTTCGCAATGCAACATATCGCAAACAGTTCAAAGCGACCACACCCCCCTCCCCACTCCCTCCCTCCCTCACTCGGACCCCCCAACCCATCTCCTCATATCCCGCTCTTATCCAAATGACCCGCAATCTCCTTCGCCAGCCCCGACAAATCCTGCTCATTCCCCTCCACCTCCAACCCGCCGCGCACCCACCTCCCCGCCTCCTCCCACCGGCCCATCTCGCAAAGACACCTCCCCCGCCTCCACCACGCCTTCCCGTTCCCCGCCCGCTTCAACTCCACGCTCGTCTCCGCGTCCGCCGCCCCCTCGGGCCACATCCGCGCCGCCATGTACGCCTGCGCGCGGTTCGCAAACAGCACGCCCGCCTCCTCCTTCACCAGCGCGCTCGGCTCCCACCCGGGCCGCCCCGTCGCCATCTCGATGCCGTACGTGTACAGCTTGATCGCCTCCTGCGCCTGGGCGGCCGAGGGCGGCGAGGATTTGCCCGTCCGGAGCGAGGCGTTGCCCTGGTCGCGCATCTTCTGCACCTGGGCGGAGCGCTTCGGGTTGACGTTTGTGGGGGGCGGGGGGATCTGGTTGGGGAGGGCGAGGATGGCGCGGTGGAGGGCGTTGAGGGCTGTGAGGTCCGGGTCGAGGGTGCGGGTCGGGGAGGAGAGGGATTTGCTTGCGGGGTCCATTTGGATGGGGAGGAGGGTGAAGGTTTCGTCCATTGTGAGAAAAGGTTGGTTGGGTTGGAGGAGCTCTTGGGCAGAGCGGAGGTCGCTTTGCGCAGAGATGCGACGCTGTGGGGGGAACGAGTGTTGTCAGTGGCGTGAGAAGGTAGTAGCCTAGGTTAGGTGCGGTAGCTTGTTTTATGACTGTTCAGGAGGCTCGCTGAACTGGTGAGGCTAAGGTAGCTTTGGGGGTGAGTGGTCAGTAAGCTCTCTTTCTGTGTTTTCGGTCTGGCCAAATGTTCAGTTGCCGCTGCTGACGCTAAGACGCCAAGACACACTAGAGTACTCGTAAGGCTGATGACAATCTCGTGGACGAGCAAAATTCCATCCATACCTACCTTCCCTTACTTTTGTTTTTGTCGGACTTCTTCTTGTCTATGAGAGCCTTTATATTGAAGGCGCTCAATTTTAAAGCAAACGAGTTCCAAAGAAGAAAGCAAGCTGTGCATTGTATTCGACTTTTATCGAAAACCTTCACATGCTTGCATTCATATTTTCTCGTGGACGCGTCTTCCAATCAAAAGCTACGATTTCTGCTGCGTGTTTCTTACTCATTGGTCAGATACCAGGCTATCGGGTTGACAAATTTTGATAGCTAGCAGGCCGTCATAAAGATGTATGAATCTTAGCTGGTAGCTACAGCAATCACGATGCCGCCAAGCCCTTCCCTGCGCGTGGAGCAAAAAGACGATGGAGCAGATCTGCGCAGGCAGCAGTCACAATGGTGTTTGAAACGTCAAACGGAGGTAAAGGAGAATTAAAACGTACCAAACGACGCGATCTCTCTTAAGATCTTTCACTCGGATTTCTTGAGGCAGCCATGCCATCCCAACTCCCAAACTTCCCTTTTCTCCTCACGAACCAAGGCCTGATGTATCCGGGATACCCTCACACGGTCCTCACCATCATCCATCGCCCATTCCAGTGGAAAGAGTATGTTGGCCGAAATCCCCAACTGCGCATCCTCCCATTTCCTCAATTTCGGCCCTACAGCATCCCATTCAGCGTAGAGGGCAACGAGAGCATCCTGAAGATCCACCGCGTGATGGTAAAGCTTGGACAATTCGTCATATGCTTGCGTATCGCGAACCATCCATTCCTCATTCTCCATCGCGGCATCTCGCCCTTCGACGCGCAGATCTGCAAGGCTGTTAGCAGCGTGAATGGGGTGGTACACTAAAGCCATACTCTTTGCTTCCCTGCTCGAATCGAGCTTGACGCTCTTGCCACGTTTACCCATAGCCATGGTTTGGGCCATCAGAAGACTGACATAGCTGAATTGAACTTCGCAGGCCTGAGCTTTCGTGCGAACGAGTCTCCGCGCTTGTCGATATATATTCTATCTCGTCCGAGCGCTTTTTTGCCGCCACGCTAAAAGCCTTCTGTCTTTGCATTGTTCTCCCAAACATACGTTGGTATTGGGCCTGCAACCGAAGTTGTTGGTGGTTACTCCGAGACGCAAACCGGCCTTTTTTTTCGATATTCGTAAAAGAGCTTGAAGGGTTTGTCGAACCAGTTGCAGATGGGCGATTCCACGCATCTTTCGTGGCTTCTCGGATGTTTGGCAGGTTGTGGGTCCGAAGCTGTCATCTTCGATTACCTGGGTGGTTTTGGGGTGCTTATTGTCGTCACTGAGGACTTTCTACTCTGGGATGTTGAATGGGTGGGAAGATAGCTTGCGCTTACCCAGTGGAGCATTTTTAACATCTCTCTTTGCGTGGTCTTTGCCATTTAGGACCAGAGCTCTTATGGAACTGGGCTGGATTGTTGCCCATTGTTGCTTCTGTTCTAGGCTCCAGACGAGTGCTTGTCAGCGTTGGTGGCGGGGTGGGAAAGTAGTAGGCTAGGTTAGGTATATTATGTTATGACTCCTCAGGAAGCTCGCTGATTTGATGGTGTTGACTTTGACTGAGCGTGGTCAGGAAGCTCCTCTCTTTGTAATGGTGCTATGCATTTAGCTCGTTCGTCGCTAATTACTCGTGCGGCCGACCTTTTAATCACGCACCAATCAGAAGGATCTTATCTAAATATGTGCTGGGGCGCGGGGCTACCCAGTAGTGGAAAACTTGCCGAGGATGTGAGAAGACTGAGAAGATTGAGAAGACTGAGAAGACTGAGAAGACTGAGAAGATTATTATTGCATAATATCAATTCTATTAAGGGGAGATCCCCTAAACCCCCCTACTCTTCGAGGGCTCTCCGAGGGCCCTTTGGGGGCTTTTATCGAAGGGGCCGTTTTTGTAAGCTCGAAATTATTTATATAAAGTCTATTTTGAGATCGATATAAGATTATCTACTTCGTTAAGATTATAACTATAATCTCTCTAAAGAAATTTCTTATAACGATTATTAATTATAAATCGAAGTTACTTATAAATAGTTTTAAGATCTTTATATCGAATCGCTATATATAACGAAGTCTCGAAGTTAAGTTAATTCTTAATTTAAGACTAATTAATCGTTATATATTAATCTTTTATAACGTAAAATACGTAATCTAAGACGTCTTATAATTCGATATTAATAGATTTTTATAAGAATCGCTCTTTTTAAAAACGTATTTAATATATAAGATTATTACACAAATTCTCGATAACCTCTTATTAAAGATGAAAATAACTTATTTTAATTTTTTCGTAAACGCGTTTTAAAGCGTCGAGACTTTAATTTTTTCGTAGATATATATTATAAATATCGAATATAGGGCGTTTAATATCGAGGTTTAAAGTATCGAGCTTAAAGATATTTATTTACGTCTTAATAATATATATAGAATTAATACCTTCGAAAGTAGTTTAAGAAAAATTTTAAGATATTATAGATTAAGATTAAGATTATAATATAATATAAGTAAAGGCCTATAAATTAAATTTATAAAGTTAGATTTTTCTAAGTTAAATAGAGTTAAATTTTTTTAAGTTAAATAGAATTTTAATCTTAGCTCTAAGTTAAATCGAACTCTAATCGCTTATTATACGTTTTTAATCTACTTTTATTATTACGAAATTAATAAAAAAGATAAAAGCTTTAACTCTAAGTTAAATCGAACTCTACTTATTTTTTATACGATATTTAATCTATTTAATTTACTTCTATTACTATAAATCGCTAATTAATTATATTCTTATCTAAAAAAGAAGTATCTACTTAATAATCTTATTTTTAATATATCTTATTAATCGAGTAGATTATCTTTTTAATAGATTATCTAGAGCTATAATTAATAGATTAATCTTACTAATAACTTAGCTTAGAGTTATATATAATTAACTATAAATAAAGATCTCGAGATATAAATATAGATTAATTTACTATAATAACTAATTTTAAAACTTATTAATTATTATATTAAAGACTAATTAGATTAGAAATTAAATATATCGAAAAAAAGTATATAGATCGTTTAAATTAGATAAAGTTAGAGGAATATATAATATATAATATTATTTATTATTATATTCGCCTCTAAGAATATAATAATCGAGTATTTTAAATCTAATATACTTAATTTATAGATATATTCTATTATATAAATCTATATACTACTTTAAATTTCTTAATAATATTATTATATAATTCTATTTTAACTTTAAATAATAAAGTAAAAGCGAGATTAATTTAAAGATATTTATTATTTTAGTAGATAGAAGAAAGCTATCTTTCTTATTAACGACTTAATCTCTACTTATTAAGACCAGCATAGGTGCGATACTAGTATAGATAAGATAGATTAAGAATAATAAGGCTATCGAACTATATATATAGAAAGGAGATATAATATAGTAGGGAATGCCTTCTATTAAGGCTCGCTAGATCATAGGGCTGAGTGGTATATCAAGGGTACGCTCGTAATACTACTATTATAAACGATTTTAGCTTTAAAAAACTTATTAAAAACTTAATTATTAAATTAGATAATATTCTTATTAAGAATATAAAGAATTATCTTAAATATATAGAAATTAGCTATTCGATATAGATTAAAGTTATTATAAATAGTATTAATTAGCTAAGTAATAGAGTTATCTAATAACTATCTAATAGATTAATTAATAGCTTCTTATTTTTCGAAGTTTATTAAAATATTATTATCTATATCTAATAGCTTTTAAATAAATTTCTTTATATTAATTTAACCTTAATTAATTAAATTCGAGTTTTAAAGCCTTATATTTTCTATAAATCTAAAAATTTAAATATAATTTTAAAGATAAAACGCTCTTAATATAGCTTAAGCGATATAATCTAACTTAATATTCTTAATAATTAAAAAGATTTAATAAAAGTTATTATAGAAATATATAACTATATTATTAAAAGAAGTAAGATTTTTTTAAATATCTTAAAGTATATAATCGATAATCTCGATATCGTAATAGTTTTATATAAAGATCTTATCTTAGAAAATAAACTCGATTATCTTTAATAATTAAGTTAAATTAAACTCTATTAATATATTATAATTAAATTAAATAATAATATTAAGAGAGATCTTAAAGCGAGAATAAGTAATAACGTTATTTTAAAGAAGAATAAAGATAATACTAGATAAAACTATAGTAATAACTATCTTAAAGTTATATCGTACTCTTTATAATATAATATTCTAAAATATAATCTTATTAATATCTCTATAGCTATCGAGAAAGAAGAGTTAATTATTAAAATAAGAGATTATATTTTAAATAGCGTCGACTATAGCGATTTAATCGTTATTAAAATTTATTTATATTTACTTTTAGATATTAATTTAATAGCTATATTCTTCGCGTAGAAGTTAATTTTAATTATTAATATAATATTATTTATAGTCTTATTAGATTATAAGTAAATTAAAATTAATAATAAGATTAATATTCTTTATAGAGCTAATATTTTTTTTAAGCGAATTTAAATTAAATAAAGATAGAAGTCTTTAATAACGACTTATTTATATTATATATTATTTAATAAAAAAAGAGTATAGTATTAAGTCTAAAGAATATAAATAAGATTATTAAATAATTTAAATAAAAAAAAATATATAAAGTATAAAAGAAGAATTAAATTATTTATAAGTAAAAAAAGAAAAAATATATCTAGCGCGAAAAGTTTTAGTAATTAAAAAAAGAATATTATATTAAAAAATATTATAATATTTTAAAACTATCGTTAATATAATAATCTTCTTATTCTATAGCTTAAAATACTTTAACTTATTAAAGAAATTATTAAAAAAAAATATATCTAGCGCGAAAAGTTTTAATATATAAAAAAAGAAATATTATATTAAAAAAAGTTATAATATTTTAATATTATTATTAGCGCGATAAGCTATTTATATTATACTTAAAGTATTTCTATTTAATAAAGAAGAAATTATCTATATATCTTAATTTATAATTATTTTATAAATTTAGAGAATTACTAAGTTTATATTATAATAGAATTATTATAAAAAGATCTTATAAGATATATTCTTTCTATTAAATCGCTATTTTATTTAATATTTAATCTTATTTAACGTTATTATAAAATAAGTCTCTTACTATATAGATATTATAAAAAAAATAAAATATTATTATTTATTATATATAAGTCTTCGAAGAATATAGAGTTTAATATATTTAGAAGAAGATATCGTAGATAAAAGAGCTTTTTAGCGTTTAAATTAATATAATATATTCTTATAATAATATCCCTACGCCTCTAATATAAACTTTATTTAAATATATCTTACTTATTTTTTTTCTAGATATATTACTTTAATAGATCGATATAGAAGAAATCTTTTATTTATCTTCGCTATTAACGCTATTAATTTAATTAAAAAAAATTATTAGCTTAATCTAATATTTATATACTATATTAATTATCTAATTTAAATTATTATTATTATTAAATATTATATTATATTAATTCGAAAGATAAATAAATAATCGTTTAATAGAAGAATTATAATTATATAATTTAAAGCTAAAAATTCTTTAATAGACTTTCGTAAAGCTTATTTATTATATATCTTAATACTCTTAAATCTTATTTATCTAATTTAGATCTATATTATTTTAATCTATATTACTCTTATACTCTATTTAAAAATTAACTTAATCGCTATTCTTATAAATATATTTAAAAATATATTTATAAATTTTAATATTAATATAAATCTTTATATTAATATAAGCGTTATACTTAATTAATTAATAAAGACTATAAAATATTATCTAATAATTTTATTTAGATTTATTATCTAATATCTTAATA